TATATAAAATATCTATATATATATTTTATATGTATTTCCCAGAAAACAAGCCAGCAAAGGAATAATTGGGGAATAGTGTTAAGACTTTAGATTTAAATATAGATCTCTGGTACAACACTTGTTCGTATTTCACAAACTAGTTCATAGAGGATTAGTAAAGAGGGAAATTAAGTATAACCCAGATTTTCCATTGGTTTAACACCAATTTAGCAGCTTTTGAGATAATGAGGGGAAACTTTCTCACTATTAAAGAGAAGACTTTAGCAGTAAATGAAGTCTTAAGAAAAAACGCTGAAAATTCTACTGAAGTGTCTTCCTTTGGAGTCAGTAGTGGATTGGTTAATGTTTTTAAGAATCATTACACTTAAAATCATGTTAATGCATCTAGTGAAGCTGCCAAGTGCAGTTGAAGAAGCTGTAAAGAAAAATATTTTTAAACATTAAATATATAATTTCATAGAAAAACTTAACTGTATTGGGAATTCATGCCCTCAAAGACCCACATCTTAAAGGAGAAAGGTAAGCCTCAGGGTTTAAGCCTGCAAGGACTTGATTGTGGTGCTGGGTGAAAACACTGGAGATTGAAATGTGCTAAGATTTACCAGAATTGTTACTGTTTTTGCTAAGGCTCTAGTTACAAAGTTGCGTAGATTTTTTTTTTTTTTTCAGCAGTTACCTCCACAAAATTGATTTTGCCTACAAGAGCATTTTAAAGGAATACGTAAATATTATTATAGCAGAAATGCTTATATTTTAGAATTTATGAGAGTTGTTTCGCTCTTCAAATTGCACTTGTTCCAAAATCTCAAAGCTAATTGCTATGCCAATCTTTTGGCTAGTAGTCGAGTGATAACTGTTTGTACCACCCAGACTCCAAGTATCTATATATCTTAGGGATAGAAGTTTTCACCCGATTGTAGGGAAAGAGAAATATATTAAAGTTATCAATTTAATTTTTTTTTACAAAAATAGTTTTTGTCCTTTTTTACAAAAGTATTTTGCGATCCTTGAAAGATGAGATTTGTATGCGGTCTTTTTTTCTTGCATTCAGATTGCATTTTTGCTATGTTTTTGCACACATAGAAATTATTTATATGATAATAAACTTCCAGGGGAAGATCATATACATACTGTTATGGAAACATATATTCTTATCTATGAATTGGAGGCAAATACCTTTTAACAATGGTATTTTAAAGATCTTTAATATGAAGTACGAAATAAGATGAAATATTATCTTACATGAAATACCTCAGAAAGAAAATTATATCTGTGTTTTGAAAATGCATAATTTCTAGTCCTTCATTGTCAAGGAGTTAAGAACAACAAAAAGAAAATATGTGTGTATGTGTGTGTGTTTATGTGCGTGTGTTTATGTGTGTATATGTATGTAAGTTTCAAAGATGGATGGCAGGAAAATTTTTCTTTCTGTTCAAAGTATTAAACCTGGGGATAAAGCAATTGCAAAAGTTGAGATTGACCTTGAGTTTATGTATAGTACAGCAAAGGAAGAAAATAGCAAGATTTTGTCACAAAAGACCTGATGGTGAAATTTTATGTATGCCTTTCGTATTAGATCTCATGGCTTATTTGACCAGACTCCCTCATCTTTATTTGCTGTCAGTCGCCTGAGGATGAACAGGATGAGCCCATTTTGTATCCAGAGGGCTACCTTAGGAAAGGGTATGAGCATTGCCTTCAGCCTTTGGGCAATGTAGAAAAGAGTTGAGAAAGGTCATCCTGACCACGAAAAGCACCTTTGGCATTAATATCCAGGCTTTTGACTCTTCAGCTTCTATTCTTATTGCCCCATGTCAAGGTACTCAAGTTTTTTTTTGTTTTTTTTAAACTAGAACTGGACCCATTAGGGAGCCCTGGTGGCACAGTGGTTAAGAGACCTCTGGTTCGAATCCACCAGGCAATCCTTGGAAGCCCTATGGGGCAATTTTACTCTGTCCTATAGGGTCGCTATGACTTGGAATCGACTTGATGGCAATGGGTTTGGTTTTTTGGGTGGCCAGTGGTTAAGAGCTCAGGCTGTCAACTAAAAGGTTGACAGATCAAATCCACCAGCCGCTCCTTGGAAACCCTGTGCTGCAGTTCTACTCTGTCCTATAAGGTTGCTATGAGTCAGAATTGACTGGATGGCAACAGATTTGATTTGGGTGTTTTTTTTGGACCCAATAGAGAGAGAGAAAAAAAAACCTTTCATGTAGCAAAGGTGTCACTTTAAGGACTAAGGTGTGCCTGACTCAAGCCATGGTGTTTTCAGTCGCCTCATATGCATACGAAAGCTGGATAACGAATAAGAAAGACAGAAGAAGATTTGATGCCTTTGAATTATGGTGTTAGCAAAGAATATTAAATATACCATGGACTGCCAGAAGAATGAGCAAATCTGTCTTGGAAGAAGTACAACCAGAATACTCCTTAGAAATGAGGATGTCGAGACTTCCTAATAGGAACAGCAACAACATAAGGTCCTCAGTAAAGAGTAAGAGAAAGGCCCTATGGGTGAATTTCAGCCCTTAGCTATTTAGAACCCTGCAACACTGCCAGGGCTTTCTGTGTCAGTACTGACTCCTGGCCCACACTCAAAGTAATATCTGCAAAATAACCCTGGACTTTCAAAGGCTGTAAAAGGTAGTTTTGGGTAGGGCAATTACAGATCAGTCTCTCAAACTTCCAAATTTGGAAAATTTGGAAGGAGAGGAACTTAAGCAGGAGTAAGATTATGAAGGAAAAGTCCACAGAATGTGAAACTGTTTTATCTTTATTATTTAAGGATATTGTTATTTTGTTAGGTGCTGTTGAGTTTGTTCTGACTCATAATGACCTTGTGTGCAATAGAACGAAACACGCCCATCCTGCGCCATCCCAACAATTGTTTTTATTCTTGAGCACATTGTTGCAGCCACTGTGTCAATCCACCTCGTTGAGGGTCTTCCTCTTTTCTTTGACCCTCTACTTTACCAAGATTGATGTCCTTCTCCAGGGAGTGGTCCCTCTCCATAATGTTACTGCAATAACGCGGATTGCAGCTGCCTGCCACAATAGCCAATTATGAGACGGGGTGAGGTGAGCAACAAGATGTTTATTATATATCGATATATAAGGAGACGGAGGGGAATAGATTCCTCCAAAACACCTGTCTCCCCCACTGGAGATTGGCTGAAGTCTTTTATAGGGACAGGATTATGGATCTTTTGTGGT